TGCACAAGATGTGAGTGTTCACCTCAAAAATGCGCGGGAGAAACAGAGGAACTGCAAAATATATCCTGAAGTTGTTTTTCTGCACCCACTTACGAGCCTGCTTCCCATTTCGAGGCTTCAACTCATAGTTTTTAGTAAAAATGAGTCAGTGAGTAAGCGAGGCAGCTGCCCAGAATTAGGCAACCAGATACCGTCAGCAGCAATATTGTATATGCTCCATGATGACTCTCCTTACGTATTCACTCTTTATTTCTTCTGTATCTAAATAAAATCATATGGGTTACTTCCAGTATTGTGATCATGGGAGGGCCCCCTCCTTCTGTCATTATGTTGTTGAACCCCGTAATCAGTCCTGATGTTAATCGACAGTCTGACTCACCACGCATACAGACACATGCGTACGCCCACTCCTCCCCCACGCTGGTCTGATGGTCCGTTACTGTGTCACACATGCAAAAACACACACATGGCGAGATGTTCTCTTCTTTCAATCTCCGTTCCCATAAACCGCTAAGTACCATTCTTTTGCCAAGACGCTGTGGCCTGTGAGTCTATGTGTGTTCTGGCAGACTGGTGAAAGAGTTGAGTTGCTCGGCTGGTATCTGATAGTTAAAGGTCAGCTGTAAAATCATCCGCTCAGCTCCTCTGTGACTCAGCGGTTTGTTTTTTGATACATGCATGTATGTTGTTTGTTATAATACTCATGCAGCCATAGCAGCTCAGTACTCCCGTCTCCCCGTCTTGATTTTGTCTCCTCCGTCCTGCAGTGTGTCTGCATTCTTTCCTTAAATTTTTACAATTTTGCTGTCATGGAAATGTTTCGCTTTTGATTTTCAGCCAGTCAGTACAGACTGTCTCCCAGCAGCAGTCAGTGTACTGTTTTATAATTGTCTTGAGGTGGAAATTGGAGCAGAAGAGATTAACTTGCTGCACTCCCTCTGGTTATTTCTGCTTTGGACACTTCTGCAGATGTTCCTTTACTGTGTCCTTGAATTGTTAATTCACAACCATAAATAAATTATTTATTCTTTGCATTAATGTGTGGGAGTCCCAAAGTCAGACTGTGAGCAGACATTTGGTTGTAATTGTTCATCAGGTGCCCATCTTTGTTTATTGAAAATGATTTGTTTCCATGTTTCCATGCTTGAATCGCAACTAGTGTTTATTTGACGTCCTTCTTCAAGCCTCACTTTGAAATAGCTGTAGGGTAAAACCTCATTCAGTGAAATGTAAACCAATGCGGTGCCAGTCGTAGCTCAGATTCTTTTCCATCAGCCTTTTTCCACATAAATTCAACAAACTGAGAGCCCGCAAAGGTCATGACCCCTGGGAAAGTGACCTATAAGCCCCAGAGAAACATGGTTCTCTATATGTTTGCCTGTCTCCAGTTCCAGGATGGCTGGAAACCAGTACTAATTTATCCCACATGCTTGTCTTGTTAAAATGCTCTCAGTGCAACAGGGCAAGCCAATCTGCCATCTCAAGATTTTCTGCACAAGTATCTCATGTCTGAGTCATCTCTTAACTGTCTATGACTATATACTCACTTTGTGTCTTGTTTTTCAGCCCATGTGGACAACAAGGAGCAGTACGTCGAGGTGCTGGAGAACCTGGGGAATAGCCACCTGACCCAGGACAACAACGAAGTCTCCACAGGGTTCCTCAACTTGGCTGTGTTCACCAGAGAGGTCACAGCCCTCTTCAAAAATCTGGTGAGGAAAGATGAGAGGAGTGTGGACGACCAGGGGAAAAGTGGAGGTTTCCTTGAATTAGCTGCCTTTACTAGAAAGTTCAAACCACACACGCAACTGTGGTGTAAGGGAGGAGGGATGGAAATAAAGACAAGACTAAAAGAGAAAAGAGAAGCTGCTCCATTACATGGCTCCACTCACATACTCAGACAAGAGTGAAGAGAGTGCATCAGCAAAATTTAGTCTGTTTATTTGAAACGGCAGCAGAATAAAAGAACCACAAGATATCAGATGTACGTGTGTGGTCATTATCGCAGAGTAAAAGGAGTGAATGCACACACATTACGTGCATGAATGCATGGAGGAAAGGGCTTTTCAGCAGCTGCATGTTTGCGCCTCTCTCAAAACTTGTGGCCGTCCGGAACTCTCCCACTGATAGTTTCTATGGTGATGATAATTCATCCCAGACCTCCATGTCGGGGTCAACACACACCGTCTAATACACTCCTTCCAATGTGTCAATCAAGGCCTCACAGGGGAGACGAGGTCTTACAGATGTGAACAGGAAGTGGGTTCAGAAGACTAACAGGAGGGTGATTTAAGGAGTTAAATCAACCCGAGTGTGTCACATAAAGAATTTTACTGCTGTAAAGATGTTTTTTTTTTTTTTATAAAACTAGGTTGTCTATGCTGTAGGACAATGCAAATACATTTGAAACTGGTTCTATTTGACTAGTGAACACAGAGAAAAATGGCTGGGGCATTTTCTTTAGCTCTAGAGGTAGAGAACTTAGCTGAAAACACATCGGCGCTGCCTCTAGCACACTGGACACTTGAAATCACGTGTGGATAGCCCCTTAATAAACTTGATTTCTCGCCTGAAGAGCCGATCTCCAGAGCCATGACTCACCTGGCAATATCTTTTGGGCCATTGTCTTTATAGTGACAGGATTGTGAGTCGTTTAGCTTGGGATATTTCTCAGCCTCAACAAGGAGCCTCTCCTCATCCATTCTTTGTGACACATGAGATACAGCAACATACACTGCCTGGCCAAAAAAAAAGTCGCCACTTGGATGTAACTAAGCAAATAGGTACGAGCCTTCTATTGGATAATTACTGCATGGGCGATTATCTTTCAGCTGGCAACAAGTTATTTAACCCCAACTGGTACAATGAGTTGCTTCTCATTTCCTAAACAACCATGTCGAAAGACACATCCCGTGGTCGTGGAAAAGATGTTAGTCTGTTTGAGAAGGGTCAAATCATTGGCGTGCATCAAGCAGAGAAAACATCTAAGGAGATTGCAGAAACTACTAAAATTGGGTTAAGAACTGTCCAACGCATTATTAAAAACTGGAAGGATAGTGGGGATCCATCGTCTTCGAGGAAGAAATGTGGCCGGAAAAAAATCCTCAGTGATCGTGATCGGCGATCACTTAAATGTTTGGTGAGATCAAATCGAAGAAAAACAACAGTAGAACTTAGGGCTATGTTTAATAGTGAAAGTAAGAGCATTTCCACACGCACAATGCGAAGGGAACTCAAGGGATTGGGACTGAACAGCTGTGTAGCCTTAAGAAAACCACTAATCAGTGAGGCTAACCGGAAAAAAAAGGCTTCAGTTTGCTAGGGAGCATAAAGATTGGACTCTGGAGCAATGGAAGAAGGTCATGTGGTCTGATGAGTCCAGATTTACCCTGTTCCAGAGTGATGGGAGCATCAGGGTAAGAAGAGAGGCAGATGAAGTGATGCACCCATCATGCCTAGTGCCTACTGTACAAGCCTGTGGGGGCAGTGTTATGATCTGGGGTTGCTGCAGTTGGTCAGGTCTAGGTTCAGCAACAGTATGTGCTCAAAGAATGAGGTCAGCTGACTACCTGAATATACTCTATGACCAGGTTATTCCATCAATGGATTTTTTCTTCCCTGATGGCACGGGCATATTCCAAGATGACAATGCCAGGATTCATCGGGCTCAAATTGTGAAAGACTGGTTCAGGGAGCATGAGACATCATTTTCACACATGGATTGGCCACCACAGAGTCCAGACCTTAACCCCATTGAGAATCTTTGGGATGTGCTGGAGAAGGCTTTGCGCAGCGGTCAGACTCTACCATCATCAATGCAAGATCTTGGTGAAAAATTAATGCAACACTGGATGGAAATAAATCTTGTGACATTGCAGAAGCTTATCGAAACAATGCCACAGCGAATGCGTGCCGTAATCAAAGCTAAAGACGGTGGTCCAATGAAATATTAGAGTGTATGACCTTTTTTTTGGTGGTGACTTTTTTTTTGGCCAGGCAGTGTAGTTCTCTTTGCGTCAATGGTGAGGAGAGGAGTCGAGCTGCCATAGGAGCAGGGGAAAAAGAGCTGCTACGGGGGCTGATATGTACAAGCAGAGAGCGAGTGTGGGCAAAATGCATTTAATTCTGGGGGCAGCGAGGCTGGAAATAGGACAGTGGCATGAAGTGCCGTGGGACACGTGGCGTTCACTGGCAGTATGTTTTGGCCTTTACAACTACCAGAATGTACTGCACAGCACCAGACCAATAAACACTCCCGCTTGAAAACATTTGGGTGAGAAATAGGTAATGCAGAAACAGAATCTTGGTTCATATTTGATCAGCACTGCCTAGTTTTACTGTTTGATCTCAGTGTTTTCACCCTCTGTTTTTACAATACAGGACACGGTATGGCGGCTGCTTTTTGTTCACATTCTCATATTACAGCCAAACAGTGCACTAAACTATGTCTTGAGACATTTTAGGTGAGAAATAGGCCATACAGTCACAGAATCTTGGTTTTTATTTGATCAGCACTTCATAGTTTTACAGTTTTAGGGCAAGAGGGCATCTCTTTCTCATGATCCACTTCTACATTCTGTGTATGTGGTGGCAGACATACGCAAATGCGGAAGTGCAGTTTGTAGTTCGAGGAACAGCCCTAGAGCCAGGGAAAATCCACTGGATGATGAAACGTGTCCTTGAGTCGAGAGATGAGCAGAGAGATCTGGGCTCTGGTAAAATGGAAGGAAGTTTACCACAGTTAATTTACACATACTACCCACGTTGTTATGATACAAAGCTGGTTGAAAATGAGCAAAATATCCCTTTAATTCACATGTGTGTGACTGAGTGCTTGTCCCAGCAGTGTCCCAGTCTTCATACAGTGTTGACCAGTGTCACTGGCACATGTGTTGACACTTTGGGAGTAGTTATTTCCCTGTGTCAGAACACCGTGTATTATCTATTAGTTACCTCAGCTTTTGGATGCCAACCAAAACAATCTTACCAGTATCCAGGCCTCTGTGTCAATATATGAAGGTCAGCTCTGCAGTCAGCTCGCGGAAGTGGTTGGATGTTATTTATGTTAAGAGCAGGGTGCAGCTAATCCACCAGGATCCATGGAAAGGCTGCAGTGACAAGAGACTCTGTAAGTTTCGACAGTGGTCAACTTGAGACTTGTGAACAGGAGATGATGGATTATGTTTGTAGCCGTGCTGCATGCCTAAGTAAAGATGTGAGGTATTTCCATGGGGACCTTTGTGGTGATTATTTATTACTGTAAAATGCGACCTGGCGGGGTCGTGCTGGTTGTTTTGTGAATCATTCTCCCCAGATCCCCGGCTCAGTTCATCTCATTTCCATCCAAACCTTAAATTAATCTCATTTCCCTTTTGCTCTGCACAAACAGTCATGAAAGTCATTGCGTCATGCTCCCCCTCGGATGAAAAAACTTGTAATGGTGATTATAGTGCTGTGTTTTCTTTTCATGAATCACCAGTTCAAAATGACTGAATCACCGTGTTTTTGAGTTATCCACACTCATTCCCAGAAATATAAGTCCATAGGGACATAGGAGTGCGCAGAGCTGTGTGGGTGCATGTGAGTGTTTTCTCATACTGTAAGAGATAAGGGCCACCTGTAACTTTATGTGAAATATTTTTAACCTCTTTATTTAAATGCTTTTCTCTCGCAGGTGCAAAACCTCAACAACATCATGGCGTTTCCTTTGGAGAATGTGCTGAAATCAGAGCTCCGGGACAGCAGACAGGTGAGTCTAGACTTTATTAATAACTCATTAAATGCTAATAAAACAGCTGGTTTAACAAGTATACACGTGAGGATGGCTTGTTTTAGGGCAGAAAAGACTACACCTGCCTAAAAGGGAAATTCCACCCTAAATACTTCTATAACATTTTACAGTTTGGTTTTAATTTGTGAACTTGAACAGCCTGTAGCGATGCATACCCTGAAGCTAATCAATAAATTAAAGCAGTGCAATGCAGACAAAACCAAAGCTTTTTTTAGTACTGATAATGTCATAAGCTCTCACCCAATTACACATGAATACATTTTCTTCTTTTACTCAGCTACAGTCCACAAATTTAAGCAAATTCTATCAACTGTCATCAACTGTAATATACTACCACTATCACGAAATATCGGTATTGACAATAACTGTGATATAAAAACTAAAATACTGATTTTATGTTAGTAATACACATATGATAATAAATTGTAAATAATAACATGCCTCTTAAATCATCCCCTTGTCTTTCCTTGCTTTTGTACAGTTATGCCTACAAATACGAGTGTAAATCACTGGTTTAATCATGTTACAATATTATATTGATTCTTTGGACAATGATACGATATTTGCAGATATTACAAAGTCTGCCACGATACGATTTTGATTTGATGCGATTCAGGGGCCTGCAGTTCATATGAGACGATATTATCTGCCCATTTAACACAGTCAGTTACAGAGGAAGCTGCAAACTCTTTTTTGCTTTTGGCCATAAAAGATAAAACCACACATGAATATGTAAATAATTGTAACCGCTTAGGTGCAGTAAAGTTTACTTAACGCTGACTCCACTAACACAGCACATGGGATAAGTTAACCTTCAGGGCTTTCTGCCCAAACCATCATCTGTTTCATAAAACTTCAGGAGTGTCTGGCTTAAAGCTCTGAAGGCAAACTTCTCCCAACAGCCGTAAAACATGGATTAACAACAACATCATTTAACAAATAAAATTCACCTTAATAATAACTGCCAGCGTTCACAGACACATCAGTTGTTTTTTTGCTAGTCACCTATTGTTGGCTCAAGCATTCCTCTATTCAGAACTTATTAAATTTCATGTATTATTAATACAGTTTCTATCTTAGCGTTGGTTTAAGTCGCTGCACCTCCCGACAGGTCAGCACAGATGAAATTCAGCTTGAATGCATGTTTTTTTCAGCCAAACATAGTTGAAACAGAGCAGCTAATGTAGCTGTAGTGAGAAGTTAGTGGAGTGAGCTGCCCGACCAGGCAGCTAACGTTACGTCACGTTTTATCTCATAACGGCATTGTTTACGTACGTCATGTACTCTGTCACTTTGTTACCCAAAATCCAAAATACTTCCACACTGCTGATTTATTCCTGAGTAAATAATACTATCCTCATCGTCTTTCTCTTGGCTGCTTGCTGTCTACCTGCCGCTGTTTGAAAATGACACAGACTTTCAAAGTAAAAGCGTATCCTAAAGATGACGATATGGGTCAATGTTGTCACATTGCATCGATGACACTGGATCGTTGTTCATTGAATCCATATACCGTTACACCCCTACTTACAAACTCTCTTTCTACCTCCTTACACTTGAATTTTGAGCAATTAATTTGCCAACAAAGAAACAAAACGCACAATAAACAAATTTAAAGATGAATTTGACTGATAGCTTTTTCCCCCCCAAAATCTTTCTATAGGTATCGCAATAATATTCTTACTTTAAGTGTTTTGGTCACCATATTGTTGTGGTGAAAATCTGATAGTGTGCCAGCCTGAATATAGACTAGATTAAAGAAGGTAACATTGGTGATACATCGCATAATTATGGCAAAATATCCATATCTGGTCTTTTATTAAAAAATTGATTTTATCAAGGTATGGTCAGGCTCTACAGTGAATAAAGGACCAGCTTTTAGGACAGCACCTACACTGATTTATTTTGAATGTGGGGCTTTGTGCTGCTCAAGAGTACAGATGCCTGTAGATGTGGACTCTACTGTCCAAAATAATTGAAATATCACAATGTAAAATCAGTTTTAGAGCAGATTTCCTCTTTAAGCGGGTAAGTCTGTCGGCCTGTGTCGCAGGCCGAGCTGAGCTTACTAAAATATTGGATAAGATGAGGCTGTTTATGTAGATTAATGAGTAAGACTGAGCTATGTTCAAATACTGAACTGATCTGTCTTGCCCAGTATTTGTCTTTTTGATTTGCCACGCAGACAGACTGGTGAGTAATACCAGGCTAATGCTTCTGTAAGCTCCTGTCACTGCCCTGTCTTTGAACCAGCTGATCCCACAGCTGAGCATTGCTTCACTTTAACTGTGAAGGAAGGCAAAGTGCTACTGAAATCCTGTTCAGCCAGATAGCAGAGTCGTTAGCCTAATGTGAGTAATCATGTCTCTGTGCGTGGCCTGTCTTGCTCTGTTCAGATATACACAGATAATAACCAGCACTGTGAAACACGGCTTCACCTGTGAACCATTACCCTTGTCATGTAAACGCTTGTCTCTACTCTTCTCTACAGGAGCTCAAGAAACAGATGGAGAAGAGTTGGAAGGAGTATGATATAAAAATGTAATTAACCACACTCTCACACTTAGTTTGTTACCTCACATTCATATGGCTGAAACAGATGTTATTGCCTGAGGAGAATCACAATGCACATTTTGAGTTCTTGCTGGTCTTTTGCTGGGTCATAGACGTTGATGTAACAGCAGAGGCTAATAGGATAATAGTTCATTCCCCATGGCCTTTCTCCATTACACTGCTATGAAATAAAACTGAAGCCTTGCACTCTGCAGACACCATTTGATCTCATTCTGACACTGGACAGTGGTTTAAAGTGTTTTATAATTTTTGTAAGGAGATTTCACCTCTCCCTTCTTGTCTTCATCCAACTTCCCATCCCCCCTCTCTCTGTATGAGGAAGGTGTTAGAGGGGAAAAACACTTAAAATGATCAAAAAGTTAATCATTACAGAAAGAGAGTTGAATCCAGCAGATTAAAGATTTGTGAAGTTTTTTGTGCACTTAAATGACTGGGGCTGTAGTCAACCAAAAAAAAGTCCAGGTCAACATGCATTTTGCCTACTTGTTAACCAATCGATTGGTCTATGGGGAGAAAAGTTCTGCTTGTTATCTCTAGATAACTAAATCGACCACAGTGCACACTACCTGGTAGCTCAGTTTGTCCAACAAGGCAGGAACACTTGCCTAGGTCAAGTAAACTCTGTGTTCGGGCAAGTGGAATGCCTCACTTAGTTGTCCGATAGTCTCGCTCACCAGACCTTTCTCAAGAAAAGAAAGGTCTGGCTGGGCCGACTCTCACTTGAGATTGGAGAAAAAAACGCCCCGGCTGCTTGTACTTCTTTCAGCCAATCACAATCGTTCTGGGCGGTGCCACAGCAACGGTGCGCTTGCAAAAATATTGCCAGGGGAAAACAGGTTTTGGTGTAACACGCCCACAAAAATATCGCCTACAGGACGCGAACCATGGCAGAAAAATGGCTACATCCCCGCAAGATCAAACACTGCAAAAGTTAGTAAAGGTCGTGTTGAAAACGGTTGAAAACTGCTACACAACCGGAGGGGGTAGGGCGGGACTTCAGTGAGTGGCTCATTCCGCCCAATGAGACCATCCTGATGACATGAGCTCAACATTCTGTTTACCTCTCTGTATCAGTCTGGACCTGATGCTGCCCCAAACACTTACCTGAAAAATTTAAATCCAATCAGGGCCAATCAGGGATCCACACCGTCGTTGCCAACATAAGCAGCCAGTCAGGGAATGTGTTGTGGTTGATGGTGCAAAATGCAAGCCGCACCATGCCGGATTTCCGGCGTGCGGCGTGCAGCGATCGGCGAGAAAAAACGGAGACCTCTCGCTCTCAATCTATGGCTTTCAAGTTAGGCTACTAGCCAATCAGAAGTAGATTGGGGCCTGAAATTTTTTTTTTCAGGCTTAGGATTTTTTTTTTTTTTTTGCTATCACCCCTGAAACAGTAATGCAACTCTAACGTTAGAAATAGGGACAGTAGAGACAAATAGAGTCAATAACAACAATTAAACAAAAACAAGAGAATGCAAATGTAGAGTTTCTCGGAGGAAAAGATGTTTTCGTTGTTCTTCTGACTGGAGTTTGTAAATGCTTGATTTATCATCTGGCTCCGTTGGTGATGAAGATGTTCCCCTGTGTTTTGTTATGCTGATTGGCTGAAGAAGTTTATCTGTCGAGGCCTGTACCCCGGCCTGCTCAAAATGTTTGGGGCGGGATTGACTCCAGGCTGATACAGAGAGCAAAACAGAATCTTGAGCTCATATCATCAGGATGGTCTTACCAGGCTAGTTGTCCAATTAGGCAAGTGAAATATAAAAGTGATGTATAATGTTACATTTAAAAATAACTTGTGTATAGTATCGTTGAACCTGAGGTTTTTCTAGCTGAGCTGAGAATTGGACATACTGGAGGACAACAACATCGTAGACAGCATAATGTCACTAACGCCAAATTCTGCATGTCAGAAACCTACTTTGCTTTGCCCAGAAGCTAACATTAGCTGTCCTGGCGCTCCAGTGAGGGCTCGTGTGATTGCATCCCTTTCAGTAGCTTTGTAATCCAGCCTTGAATTGCGGTGTCTTTGTAAAATAAATCCATGAAGTTAAATCTGACACTGGATGTCTTTAATGATTATTTATCTGTTTTCTGGTTAAAAAATTTGAGCTGAAAAATGTTTAGCTTTGGAGAAAACGCTGCGCTCGTTGATGTCCCTTTTACACAGATGTCCCAGTCACAGTGGAGAAGCGGCGGGACAAATACCACAAAGATTGTCACAGATACTCTGGTGCTAAACAAAAGCAACTGGTGTTTTCAGCTGAGGAATAAAAACACTTTTGTGGACACATGGCCCTTATGAAAGCAACACCAGCAATTGTTTGACCAATGACAGTTGGGTCAAACCAGAGCATGTCGACCAACAGTCAACTAACTGACCAGAAGATATAAGCCCTACAAATGCCTAAGCATAACGTTCTTTCTTTTTCACTTTTGCTCTTTATATTTTCCCCTCCCCCATCAGAGGGAAGCTAGAGAAGGAGAGGAAGGAGAAGACCAGGCAGCTGGGTCTGATCAGGACGGGAGGATCAGACGGAGAGGAGGACATGGAGCGAGAGAGAAGGACCTTTCAGCTGCAAATGTGTGAGGTGAGGGATTAGTGCCAGTCAAAATACCAGACCCGCACACCTTTCACATACCTGAAGTGATGATTTACTTCACACGGGTGGTCTGCTTTGTGGATTCCATATTCCCTCAGTGGTTGACAGATGGCTGGGGTCGAACCCTTTTGTGTCTCTCCAGTAATTCCTATGATGGAAAAAAAAACTGTTTTAGAAAGTCAAACATGAGTTTAATTGGTTGTGTCTTGTAGAGCTCGGTCACACACATTAGACAGTGCAGTTCAAAGGCAGATGAAAATACTTCATGAAAGCTAAAATTGGAGGAAGTTCTTTGGAAACACATTGGCTGTGCTGGTACATACAGGTGGTGCAGTGTCAGCTACATGTGTTGGTGCACATGTAGCTGGAGAAAACCCTGAGAAAAAAAAGGTTTAATCCTGACTGAGACCAGCTGTTGAGACAAAGAGGAGAGGCAGGGAAAATGGAATTTCCACTTGTTGCAAGCTGCCCCACCCCTCCGTCACCCTGTCTGTCTCTGTCTTTCTTCTTTCACAACGCATACATAAAAACACACACAAGCTTACACAGATATACACAGGACAGAAACACTTCACTGAGCCTGTCTTCTTCCACACACAGGATGCATGCAGGGTGGAAATTATTCACAATAAAGCCTGCACTATGCATCTGTGTTATTCATATTTTTTCATTGAAGAATTTTTCCAGTTTCAGTCTGCAAGTTTCAGTGACTGGCTGGAGTGTTGACATAAGGTGACGAACTTTGGAACAATATAAAGTAGTGTCCTAGAAATTAAGAAGCCGCACAGTACAAACGTGCTGAACATGTATAGTCATGTAACAGTTTTGGGGACTCCCTGAGAGAGACTGTCCACTGGGGAGTTCCCCTGAGAACTACATACCTTCAACGACCATTTGTTCTGTTTGCTTTCGTGCCCCCAACGCTGAAGTGACTTAAGCCTGTTTCCATCAAGCAGTACGGTACGGTTCAGTTCAGTTCGGTTCGGTACACTTTTTTACGTTTCCACCATGAAAAGTTGTGGATGGTACCAATGGAACCGTTCTGTACCGTCCCCATTTTTGGTCCCCCCTCTGTTGGGGTACCTAGCACACAGATCTGGTACTAAAAGGTGGAGCTGCGATCACTGCAGTTCCTTCAGTGGTCAATAAAGGACGGTTACTCTGCTCAGGGCTGAGCTGTGGCTAATTTTGAGGCTCCTGTAACCACAGTTCATACTGTGGAGAGTTTTATACATGAGTGAAGTGTAACTTTAAAATGGAAGGATGTTTTGCTGCCTCTTGCAGCAGCTGATTCACTGGGCCGACTGCCAGCGACTTTTAAGGTGGAGCGTTAACTTGTAATGTTACTCAATACATGAATGAATCCATCAGCACATCTTAAATTTCACTTTGATTTCCATTAGTCCATTCCATTAGTTAGTTAATATATCTTAATTGCGACAGGGTTATGTGAACTGCATATATTCTAATCCTCACTTGTAGGAAAATAAGTGTCATGGACCGTTGTTCCTTTGGCTACGGCAACACTAAACCCCTGAGCTTACCTTAGAAGGATTTACTGCACAAACCTGCTACTTTTAAATATCCCATTGAGAGAGACTCTGACTGCAGCCTGTTTTATTTTGTTCTGAAAATGTTGGCGTGCAACCTTGTTCTGTGGACAATAAATAAGGTGCAGACTTCCATCTGCGTCACCTGTAATGAGGAAATACAGTGAGTGCTGGACGGAGCAGTGAGTGACAACAACCCCGCCCACATTCAAGGGTGCTGTTTGAGGTGGAAAAGCTGAACGGACCAAGGGTCTAGGTACCATGTCTGAAGGGTTACCGAAAGTGTTTGGTGGACACGGCTTTACTGCAAGCTGGCCAACAGTTGGTGTGGCAACGTCACTTTCACTTTGACGAGTCGAAATGGCTTCACATATGTGGTCAGAAAAGCCTTGACTTCACTGCTGGTCTATTTGTCCGTGTTGTTCCCTTTTTTTGTTATGTTATTTGTGTCGTCTGTTGTTTGCATGGTTAACAGGTTTTTAAAAATGGGGGTTGCCGGTGTTACATCACCTGTGTTCGACCAATCACTGCACAGTTGATTCACTTATGGTTCCTCTTGTGCTGGGAGAGTACCTACTAAAAAAAACTAAAAAAGCTAAAAAAAACTCCCTCAAAACAGCGTTCTAAGAACCACAATCGTTCCTTGTTCTTGCGGTGCAGACACAACAAAAAAGAGGGGTTCTTTGAACTATGCAAAAAGTTCCCCCGGTCTGAAAATGCCTTAAGATGAGCCTTAAATTATGGGTACTGAAAAACGGAGGATTTATTGGATGCCTCATTTTCATATTCAGGCTTTGTGTTTTTGTGAATCCATCTGGCCTGCTCCTTTGAGAGCTGCCATTTCTGCAGCTGTTCTTAACTGTCTGTGTTTATGCTTTCAGTATCTTTTGAAGATCCAGGAGCTGAAGGTGCGTCAGGGCCCTGATCTTCTCCAGAGCCTCATCAAATATTTCCAGGCCCAGCTCAGGTCAGTCTCTGCCGACATCACTTTTTTACTGTCTTTTGCCTCGTTGCCATTTTGTTCTAGATGTGAAATAGGAACAATGAATTATTTTTAAAAGTTTTCCTGACCTATAAAACATGTGGAATTGATTTGAATCCCACCTCAAGGTTTCCGTGAACGATTCTGCATAATAGCTGAGGTTATTTGGTTTTTATTTTCCTTCTGCAAGCTATTATTACTGTTGTTAACTATTTACTCATTCTGATAGCACAGAGGGTTTTATGTGGGAACAGAGTTGCTTATACAGCTTTAGCATGTGATGTTTTCGTTGGTGTGAACGAGGATGTGTGGACTGAGCTACCGTCATGACTCAGCAGTTGCTCTTTTTCTGTTCTCAGTTTCTTTCAGGACGGGCTGAAAGCTGCAGAGAACCTCGCTCCCTTCATTGAGAAGCTCGCTGCCTCTGTTCACACGGTAAACACACAGAAGCTGCTGCTGGTTTGTCTCCTCACCTGCGTTATATCAGCCAGTGTTTATAAGGGCAGATGTTAGTCATCTAATGTCTGCAGACAGTTTTGTTATTATCTAGAATTTGTCATGATTAAGAGGTCAGAGGTGAGGGTCCGTGGCTGCTGCTGTTGTCCTGACTCAAACTGATGTTATCAAAAAACACATGCGCAGACATATTGATGTTATTAAACTCCCATATTCACCCCTACACACACTCTTTTTCCCACTTGTTTTCTTCACTTATCAGTCACAATAGGTAAAACTGTGTCCAAGAAGGCACTTACTTGAAGCTCTCACTATAAATCATGTTGTGTTTTAGTACCTCCTATAGCATATTCTGTTATTCCTTCACAACAGCCAAAACCTCAGTCCCCCCTCCACCTCCTCCCTTCCCCTTTCCTCTGAAACTCCCCCCTCAGCTGAACCCACAGGCAGACTTATTGCAGCCTATTCCCAGAAATACTTCCCCCTATTTCCAAAAGATGAAACTGAAAGCATCCCTTATTTTCATTCCTTCCCCGGCGCACACCTATTTCTCCAACCACTCCGACTGGTTTCCAGTCCCCGCTCTGGATGGAGCTCTGGAAACAGGCTGTTAACTGTGATACTAGGAACGTTAGAGGTTTTTCTGGTTCTGCATGGGCAGAACAGAGACCCGCTCAGACACGCCAGACCTCAGCCTCAAGAAGGAAATTCAGACAGATTCTGTGTGTTATGGGTCCCAGGGAAAAAAAATGCAGAAATGTTTCAGTTAAACTGACTAAATGTTGAATGCAACGTGCTGTTGCTGCTTTAATTCAAAATGCACAACCTCCTAGGACGACACACCCCGGTGCTGAGCTCTGTTCTGCATTATGTAGGCCATTACACAGAGCTCTGATGTACTGTCACTCCACACCCAATTCTTGGAACAAATTAAAAAAAAGAAACATTGCATATGATCAAATGAACATGGTGTTTTTCCAGCTAATTGTTTTTTATTGCTGCAATTCACTGGTTTTTATGGTGTGTGTTTTAGGTACGTCTGGACCAGGACGAGGAGGTGAAACAGCTCACTCAGCTGAGGGATTCTCTCAGATTACTTCTGCAAGTTGAGGGGAAAGAGGTATGCTTAGTTATAAAGCATCATTATTAAACTCATTACATGTTAAGTGCCTTGATTTGGCATACTTTAGATCTACACTGTCTGTATGTGCTCTAAAAAGGCCAGCGGCAGACGCCTCTAATGCTAGCTAATGCTATCAGATTACCCTGTCTTGCCACAGTTGTTTTATACTCTTTTTAAATTTTCAGAACTGGCTCGAAGTTTTTGAAGTAAAGTCCCAAATCTCTCTTTGTATCCCAGGAGTATCTGAACAGGAAGAACTCTGGCAACGGGTACAGCATCCACCAACCACAGGGCAACAAGAAGTATGGGACAGAGAAATCTGGCTTCCTGCTCAAGAAGAGTGATGGGTGTGTAAAAGCATTGGTTACAGTGTCTAAATGTCAGGTCACATGCAGTTATAATACAAGTATTGTAGTAGAATTGGAAACACGTGGAAGACTAGATGGGATTAACATGCGTATTAAAATCAAAATGTGCTGCAAAGTCTATAAATAATCATCTAACTTAAAGTGTGCAGCTCGTTAAGTGATAGCACAAGTAGTTTTTGTTACTTCATTGTTGATATTTTAACAAATGAAAGCTTTTTAAATGTAAGAAAAGCTGCTGTCGAGAGCAGTAGCGATCACAGCTGGGTGAGGAGTAAGCAAGTAAGGCACGGAGAGAGAAGGGGGAATTCAGGCTTTGTCCACCCCACCTGGTCCTCATTATTGTGAGATGAAGATTCAAGCAGGGGCCCCTCCTGTGGAACTTATTGGCAGACTGGCTAACTGAGTGGATCCAGCCTTTGCGTCATGCACACAGGAACGCGCACACACACACACACACACACACATTTAGAGCTAGATTACAGTGTGATAAGGAGAGGGGATGTGGTTCAGTAGGGTAAATGGGAGATGGGGGGAGACCAAACTTTCCTCAGGCCACTGACACAAAACAGAACACGTCCTCACTCCTCAGCCATTTTACCTGATTCAGTCAAGATAATGAAAAACAACAGTGAAGTGCTGTGAATTGGAGTAAGTTGAGCCAGCGGTGTGTAGATCTCCATTACGCAATCCAAGGGTATTTGTTAACACTTTTAACACAATGGGTGCTTTCACACCTGCCCTGTTTGGTTTGGTTCAATCAAACTCAAGTTTGTTTGCCCTCTATGTGCGGTTTGTTTGAGCAGGTGTGAACACAACAATCACACTCGGGTGTGCACCAA